GGCCTTTTCGGATTACACACCTCGGTCCATTTAACCTATGCCATCTTCTTTTGTAGGTCACTCTCTCCCCATAAAACCCTTCCTAGTCTTATCAATCCTCTTAATAACTCCAATTGGTGCCTTAAATATAGATTTTCTACCGACCGACGGAATCCAGTTCTCTTAACTTTTCAATAACCACCTCGTCCCCACAACTTGCCGTCATTCTTACCAATTTGCCAATTTCCCAAGTCGATTTGGCCTCCTCTAATGCCAGCACTCGTCCCCTGTGGCGAATATCCTCATCTGACAAGGAGGTATCCGCAATAATCCCTTCGTCCAGTGCTTTTAAGATTGCCTTCTTTGTCTTTCTTCCTTTCTTGCCCTATGTTGTCGTAACATATAAATTTATGAATTTATGGTTAAACATATAAAGAGTTATTCTCGAATTTTTTTTGTTTTTGTTTAAGTAAGATTAATCATTTAACTGAATTTGTCATTTAAAAAAAATTTAAATTTGATTTGATTATTTTAAAAGATAGATTCTAATATACGAAATCAGATTTAAGTTCAAAAATATAATTATATATAAAAAAAAGATTATAGCACCCATTTAGAAAATGATATCAATTTGATTTCAACTTATATAAGCTTTTAAATATTTTTATAATTTATCAAATAATTTAAGTATTGTAAATTAATTTTAAAATTACTTTAATAGTTTGGTAGTAATTTAAGATAATTTTTTCACTTCAGAAGTATTCATAAAAATTAATATTTGACTCTAAATAGATTTCGTTGTCGGATTCATTAACATATTTTATTAAAAAAATAATTAATAAAATCTTTCAATATTTAATAAGATTTATTTTGATGCAAATCTTTCAGTAATTTTATAAGATTTTATTATAAAATTATGTATAAAATTTATTATAAATTTATCAAACCTTTCAATAGTTTAATAAGATTTAATTTAAGATTTAAATTCTTCAATAATTTGATAAAATTAAAATAATATATATATATATTTACTAACCTAAATTCCAGAATAATAACAAAAAACCTAGTAAAGCCTTTAACACCTAAAATTGCAAGAATCTGCGTGGGAATTTTTCTCTATTCTCGCTGTGTACTTTCTATTTGTGTTGGAACAGATTTATATACGGGTTCAATCCCCTTTAATTTTGGAAGAAGTAATTTAATCGAGTCCCTGAATTAGGGATGATTTGATCTTTTGTAATTTAAGTTTGATTTGTGACTTTCTTTTTTTCACTAAAATCCCAAAACCATTCAATCTGCCATTGATTTCCTGTGATTTCCATTTTGCCCGATTTGATTTCTGGAACAATATCTCAAAATTTCTTGATTTTCTTTCCCCTTTTAATTATGTTTTTTACTTAATTTTTATTAAGGTAGTAAAATAAAAAAGCCGAAAGCAAATATATGATGGGCTTAAAGCCCAAACACAAAAATCATACGCTAAGTTCAAAGCCCAAAATCATTTCAAAGCCCAATTATTGCCACCCAATTTTAAAGACCCAATAGAATTTCGAAAGCCCAATAATCCAAAAAACCCAAACCAAAAGTAACCATCTGATTACCAACCCCGAAAGAAATGGGACCATTTGATTATAAGCCTCGGATTAAATAGAGTGTTTACACCTTTCTTTCTCTCTTTCTTCTGGTTTTACTTTTGGTAGAGAGAGCTTCATCAATCTCCCATAAGCCTTTTGCTTTCCCCCCCTTTTCTGTTAACTTTCTTTACCAGTCCTCTTAGTAGATCACTCTCTCATCTGCATTTTCTGACGGCTCGAACAATTCATTGCTTCCTCAACCCCACCAAAGTTTAGTCCAATCTCACTTTCACTACCCTTAGTAGATACCATACCGTCTGGGCTTTCATAGGGCCTTTCCGTACCTTCCATTCTAAAATCATCCACTCCATTAGGCCCACCCAAATCTTCAGGTTCGGCCACTTTTTCCATACTAGCCTCCTGTGAGACCGTCCCTATTGCATTTAAATCACTCTCACTTTTATCAAGTGATTGTTATCTCTTTAAAATAGGATTTTTGAGTAAAAAATTCAGACATTTATTAAGTGATTGTTATATCTTTAAAAGGATCAAATCTAATGTTGGAATTGCAGTTTCCCAGTTGGATGAATCGATGGAAGTTTTGTTCAAACTATATTTTTGTCTGTAAATAAAAATATTAAAATCAATTATTTTGACATGAGTCGGCTTGGGTTGGACCTCAAGCAAACCAAACCCTGACCAAACAAGTCCAAGGAACCCGTCGTTTATATCTTTAATGTTTCCGATGAATGGATCCAAATGCTAGCCTGCTGATCTGCTTGAAGGCAAGTATCTGACTGCCTCAAGGCCTAATAGTTCCTTTAAATGCTCCCAGTTTCTACTTGGAGTAGCAATTCCGTTGTTAAGATATTAATAATAAGAGAACACATTAGAGAGTGGGAATTCATTGAGCATAAGAGAGAACTGAAAATACAGTTTGCAGCAGTGTAGGTAGAAGGATCAGAGCAGCCGCCATAAAGGAAATGAAAGCCCATGGACTGTTAAAATAGTTGTGGTTCAAGTTCGCCATCCAGCTGTTCCAACGTTACTTGCGATGCTTGTTTATCTTGTTGAATACTTCAGTGTAATAGAAGCTGGGGGAGATAATGATAAAGACACCTAGACCATTAATCATGGTGGCAACAGCTTTGTCATCACCTAACAAGTTCTTAATAATTCCATGTTGGCAAAGTATTTCCACATCTTTTGGAGAGTCAATAAGGTTGTCCATAAAAACCATATAATCGGTGGCAAGCTTGAGATCTGTGTCCGCTAGGAACAGCTGCTCATACGCAATGAGATTTCGGAGGAAAGGTTCCGTGTAGTCTCCTATTCTAATTTGAGGGATATGTAGGGTCCCATTTGCAAACCATATATCGAACATGGTATTTCCATCGACCAATTTGAATTTGATTCCAGCCTCTTTGAGCTCTGTGGCACAACGAATGAATTTCGATTCATTCTTTTTCTGTGAAGTTGAAGGATGGCAGCAACAGTGATACCTTAAGTTGAGTAAATGCTTGATATATGATCTAAAGCAATTCTGACCTCTAGGGTTCTGTTCACGGTCCTTCATTTCTGAAGTTGAATTATCGTCTCTGGGGTTCTTTTTACGAGCGTCCGCTTCCGAAGTTGAAGGATGAAAGCAGCAGTGATACATAAAGTCGAGTAAATGCTTGATATCTGATAAACTCAAGGACCTCAGATCGTTCACCGGGCGAATTTTGCCTGGTGCTGTACCTCCCAACAAACGAAAAATTGCTCCCATGAAGTTCATATCTGGATTAGCCATACTTCTCTCAATTATACAAAATAACTCCCAAAGGACAAAGAAGGGAAGTTGATTTTCGACTAACAAAGGTCGTGGCAGCAAAGGATTGGCATAAACCATTTTCGTAGCAATCTACTATATCATTTAAATAATTTGGATACCCCAAAACGGCGTGCGAATTAGCTTGGACAATAAAGACACCATCAAAGGAGGCAACACTTTAACTAAATTCTTCTGCGTCAAAGAAATCCCTCACATTTCTGCATAGCATTTGCGAGTTGATCTCTAGATTCGCCTCATTTTTCCTGATATATTCTAAAAGACCAATATCTTCTCTTTCTTCAAGAACTTTTGAAGAATGCAAGCTTTTGCTCTTCCATTGCTTTTAAGTGATCCTTGCCCCGGTGATATGGACCGATTGAAATTACCTGTGGTTCGTACGCCTTCTCGTTACCTGGACGAAGATAATTAGTACTTTGGAAATGCAAGGTGCAGGTGAATTTTTCTGATAAATGGCAAGCATTGGGTATATGTCAACGGAAACATGGTCTTCCAGTAGTCTTTCCTGTAAATTGCATAAAACTATGTTAAAATCAAATGCAAAGTATTCATAGCATACCTAAATTACAATATTAGTTATTTGTGGATTTTGTTTTTTTTTTTAAATCTTGTCTTTTTTTTCTCTCTATTCTCATAAATTAAATTACTTTAACATTAGTAATACTTAAATTAAAAAGTATCATTCAATTGATTCGATTAATACGAACAAAATACTCAAAACTGAAATAATCAAATTATGCTATTTTATTTTGGTTAATTGAACTGCTTTATTAATTTTGAAAATTTAATTGATAAAATTTAATTCGGCTAATTTTGAATTAACCAAATAATAAAAAATATTTAAATTAAATTATATTTTAAACTCTTAGATTTTCATATTCAAAACAAACTAATTAAATAAAATCATCTAACAAAATATTTAAATAACAAAGTATTTTGTTGAAAATTCTAACAATTTGTAAATGAAATGATCCAATATTTTTCTTGGCTTTTTGGCTAAAAGATGAAGTGGAGATCAATTCAACGCATCTGAGAATTTCAGCTCATTTACCATCTTTGATTTTCTGAATTTTAAATTACAGTTTAACAGAAAAAACCTATATTAATGAGACAGGCATGATCAGTTGTAATTTTTAGACTTAAAGACACGAGATACTTACTTGTTCAGAGGCTGTGCCATGCCAGCAAATATATTTCACTTGGTTTCTTTGTTGGAAGTTGCAAATAGCAACAAAAAATGTGTATGAGAAATTGAAATTATGGACTTTATATTGGCATTCTTCTAGCTCAAATTTCCTCTATCAAAGTAATGAATTTTCAACAAATATGATTGGCTGCTACCGGACGGTAAGTAGTTGAATGATAATTACAAAACAAGCAATAATGTACTGATCTGGTCACTCTGCACGCAGCTTGGTCTTTTTGGAGAATAAAAATTTTTTATATTTCAATCTAAAATATATATATATATATATATATATATATATTATGTATGCTTTGATCGGTGTGTAAGTTTATTTTTTCCTCAAGATGATAACATATGTCTCTACACCGATATTAACTCTACCATCAAGATAAATTCGTTATCTCAAGTCAATTTTTTGTCTATGTCAATTTTATTAAAATTATTTTAATAAAATAAATTCTATTCACTTTATTAAAGTTAATTTATTAAAATTAATTTATTAATTTGTTGGTATTGCTTTATATCTTTGTCATAGATTTTATTTTTATTTTTTCATTTAAGGAGAGATAATTCCCTTTTACTCATATATTATCTGGTTCAAATTATATCTCCCAATTCAATCATATATTTTATGGCCCACAATAATCAAACTAAACATGTTCAAATACAATAATTAATCAGATTGTTATCTTCAAAACACATTTTTTTAAGCCAAACTCATGATTACCAACGAAGTAAGACAATTTTAATAGAAAATTTATTTTCATATCAAAATAGTGCGCTGGGTTATGAAAGCCTATACTCTTCCGTTTCCACTATTCAGCCTTTGAATAGAAAATTTTATCATACAAATAATATATGATAAAAATTCATTTCTAGTCAAAACTATTTTTTAATTGATAATAAAATTTATAAAATAATCTAATCACGAGTTCACGTGTCAAATAATGAAATGGGTTAGATCACGATTCCTTTTAACCTTTTAGTAACATAAAGTACAAACCTCTCTTAAAAATGTGTCATCTTTTATTCATTGTCATGGTTAATAGTTTTTTTGTTTTTATTGTCAAGTTCCACGCTTATTCAAGAATCATATAACTTCTTCAGGAAATTGAAGTAAATGATATGTTTTATTTCTTGCATAACAATAAAATAAAGTATTTAATCAATAAAGATATAAACATTGAAACAATATATAAACTAATTACTATGAATCATGCTTTCTTTCCTAGATCAACCAATACAAGTATGGAATAAAATATGAACTTATGACAATAGCACATGCACTTAATTCTTTCAATGAAGATCTACAATTTCAAAATTTTTTTAATGCCTTGAAGAAATTCTTGAGAATTTATTTTGATTTAAATAATCATGGTCTTACAAATATAAAACCAGCAAGTCCTCCATGTTCAATTCTAGGCTTATGTTTGTTTCATTTATTTGCCATATAATTCACATCATGTGTATTTTAAACCATCAAATGAGACAACCCACGGAAGTATAAAATGAATTTAACACTGCTGAGTAATTTTTTTTCATTCATTATATTTGTTTTAAAAAATGAAAAATTAAATATATTATATATATATATATATTTGTTGTTAGAACTCACAAGAATGGATATATTCCTTTATATCTTTAACATTACAAAGATTTTCATGGCATTACAATTGAACGTGCCTTTACATGTGTATTTCATCGCACAAAGTAGTTCTCTAGCATAAACTTAAATAGATTATTGTACAACCATGCATATTAAACAAAAGCAAAATTTCTTTAGTCATATACCAATTTCTTATGATAGAATCATAAATATAATAAGCAAATCGATTATATATTGTCAATAACAATATATAAAATTTATCTCTAACTTTCATTTGCTGCCATATCATCAATTTCACTATTCATTTAGATGAAAGTCTTCTTTTTTTTTTTTTTTAGTTTTTGTTGGATGTCAAATTCCAACTAAATTTATAACTGTGGGGTGTTTAAGGTTTTTTAACTTCTTACGTTGGATTTCAACTTTGGATCACATTGTCGATAAGGGGGAATATATAAAATATTGGAAAAGAAATCATGAGACTTAGTCCTAAGATAGAAATGAAGGACAAACTTTATATAAATATCATAACATCTTTGTCCATGATTGAATGCACCTTTTCCTCTCTACCAATCGATGAATGCTAAGAAAAGAGTAAATCAACTACTACAACCAACTACAATATAAGATACCATTCGAGAAATTCATCCAACACCAAAAAGTGAAATAATGTCTAGAAGTGGCCAAGCAAGTCTAAAGATATAAATAATTGGCAGCTGTTTTAATATTATAAAAATAATAATTTTATTATAAAAATTCTAAAAAAAAAGTTTTTGGATATGAATTTTGGGTTAAACTTTTTAAAAGTTTTGTAAAATTGATCCATTTAAAGAAATTCTAAAAAACTTTGCATAGTGATTCTCAAGAAATCTTTAAATGAGAAAAATTCTTTCAATATTATCAATGTGCTGAAACATTTTAAAAGTTTTTTCAATTATAAGGTTCTAATTTATTTTTTAAAATAAAAATAGAATAATAATAAAATAAAGCAAAATATTGTTAAAAGTGGAAATGAAAATAAAAACAAAAAACCAAAATTGTGATAATAAAAACAGAAAAAGAGAAATTAAGAAAATTACTTTTAAATATCAAAATTAAGATTTTTGTCAAAATAAAAATAACACATAATTAATTAATATAATTTTTAAAATGGTTACTGTAAAAGTGCTAATCATTCTTATATGTAACTGTATTCTTGCTCAAAACTGTTTTAGTATATTCCAAAAATTATACTTTTCATAAATTTTTAATTAATTTTTGAAATCTTATTAAAAACATAAGTTTTAATAAATGATTAATCATACTTAGCAAAAAATATTAGTAATGACTCTATATTTTTAAATTCGTCAAGCGATCCCCAAAACAATTATTACAAAACAAAAATTTAAACATAATAATTATAACTTTTTTATTAACTTTTATAAATAAACATTTAAACATATTAAATAGTTATAACTCTTTCATTATTAATTATTATAAATAGTTATAACTCTTTTAGTATTAACTATTATAAACAAACATTTTTGTTCAAAATATAATTATTCAAATGAATAACTAATATAAACGTTAAATCTATTTATCAAAATAAAAATTTAATGTACACCATTCTAAATCACAACAGCAAACAGCTAAATAAATTGTATGAGAAATGGAAATTATGGACTCTATGTAGGTTTTCTTCTAGCCTAAATTTCCTATATCAAAGCAATGAATTTTCAATAAATACGATTGGCTGCTACTGGATGGTTAGTACTTGAATGATAATTACAAAACAAGTAATAATGTACTTGACCTGGTCACTCTGGACACAACTTGATCCTTTTGGAGAGTAAAAATTTTTCATGTTTCAGTATAAGATATATATAATTATGTATGTTTTGTTCGTGTAAGTTTGTTCTTTCCTCAAGTTGAAAACACGAGCCTCTACATCAATATCAAGTCTAATATCAAGACAAGTTTATCATCTCAAATCAATTTTATGTCAATTTTATTAAAATTATTTTGATAAAATAAATTTTATCCATTTTATTAAAGTTATTTTATTAAAATTATGTTATTAATTTATTTATTATTAACCCCTTAATTATATCAGATTTTATTCCTTTAGTTTTCCATTTAGATCACACAATAAGAGATAATTCTCTTTTACCCATATATTATCTGGTTCAAACTATATCTACCAATTCAATCATATATGTTATGGCCCACAACAATCAAACCAAACATGTTAAAATACAATAATTAATCACATTGTTATCTTCAAAAGAAATTTTTAGCCAAACTCATGACTACCAACCAAGTAAGAAATTTTTTATAGAAAATTTGTTTTCATATCAAAATAGTGCGCTTAGTTATGAAAGCCTATACTCTTCCGTTTCCACTATTCTGCCTTTGACTAGAAAATTTTGTCATACAAATAATATATGATATAAATTCATTTCTAGTGAAAACTATTTCTTAATTGAAAATAAAAATTGTAAAATAGTCCAATCATGAGTTCACATGTCAAATAATGAAATGGTTTAGACTACGATTCCTTTTAACCTTTTAGTAACATAGACTACAAACCTCTATTAAAAATGTGTTATCTTTTATTCATTTTCATGGTTAATAGTTTTTTTTTTTCAAGTTCCATGCTTATTCAAGAATCATATAACTTCTTCAATGAAATTGAAGTAAATGATATGTTTTATTTCTTGCATAACATAAATAAAGTAATTAATCAATGAGATATAAACATTGAAACAATATATAAACTAATTACTATGAATTATGCTTTCTTCCCTAGATCAATCAAATACAAGTATGGAATAAAATGTGAACTTATGACAATATCACATGTACTTAATTCTTTCAATGAAGATCTACAATTTCAAAAATTTTTTTAATGCCTTGAAGCAATTCTTAAGAATTTTATTTTCATTTAAATAATCATGGTCTTACAAATATATAACTAGTAAATACTCCATGTTCAATTCTAGGCTCATGGTTGTTTCAATTCATTGCCATGTAATTCACACAATATGTACTTAAACAAATAAAATGAGATAACCCAGGGAAGTATAAAGTGAAATTAACACTGTTGATTAATTTTGTTCATTCATTATATTTATTGTAACAGACATGAAAATTTTAATAGTTGCTTATATATATATATATATATATATATATATATATGGTCACAACTCAGAAGAATGGATATATTGTTTATATCTTTAACATTACAAAGATTTCCATGGCATTAGGGCCTTTACATGTTTATTTCATCACACAAAGTAGTTCTTTAGCATAAACTTATATAGATTATTGTGCACACATGCATATCAAACAAAAACAAAATTTCTTTAGTCATATACCAATTCTCATGGAAGAATCTTAAATATAATAAGCAAATTTATTATATATTATCAATAACAATATATAAAAGTTATCCCTAACCTTCAATTTGCTGCTGCCATATCATCGATTTCACTATTTATTTAGATTAAAGTCTTTTTTTTTCCTAGCCTCTGTTGGATTTCAAATTCTACTAAATTTGTAGTTGTAAGGTGTTTAGAGTTTTTTTTAACTTCTTACATTGGATTTCAACTTTGGATGATGTTGTCGATGAGGGGGAATTTATAAATATTGGAAAAGAAATCATGAGACTCAGTCCTAAGATTGAAATGAAAGAAAAACTATCGTATTAGTAACATTTTTGCCCATGATTGAATGCACCTTTTCCACGCCACTAATCAATGAATGCTAAGAAAAGAGTGAATCAACTACTGCAACCAACTATAATACATGACACCACTCGAGAAACCATCCAACACCCAAAAAGTGAAATAACGTTTAGAAGCGGCTAAGTAACTCCAAAAGTATAAATAATTAGCAGCTGTTTAATATTATAAAATAATCATTTTGTCATAAAAATTTAAAAAAAGTTTTTGGATATGAATTTTGGGTTAAAGTTTTGAAAAATTTTTGTAAAATTGATCCATTTGAAGAGATTTTTAAAAAATTCAAATAGTGATTTATAAAAAATCTCTAAATGAAAAAATGTTTTTCAATATTATCAACGTACTAAAATATTTTAAAAGCTTTTTCAATAATAAGGTTCTATTTTCTTCAAATAAAAATAGAATAATAAAAAATAATAAAATTTTTTGAAAAAAGTGAAAAATGAAAATAAAAACAAAAAACCAAGTTTGTGATAATAAAAAGAGAAATTAAGGAAATTATTTTTAAATATTAAAATTAAGATTTTTTTGTCAAGATCAATAAATAACACATAATTAATTGATACTGTTTTTAAAATGGATGCTGTGAGGATGCTAATTTTTTGTTATGTATAACCGTACTCTTGAACCTAAATTATTTTTTCAAACCAAAAAGTATCTTTTAAATAAATTTTAATTAATTTTAAAATTTTATTGAAAAATTAAGTTTTAATAAGTTGTCTAATCATACATAACAAAAAATCAAAATTAGTGACAACTTCTTATATTTTTAAATTCGTCAAACAATCTCCAAAACTATTATTACAAAATAAAAATATTTAAACGTAATAATTACAACTTTTATTATTAACTATTACTTAGAAATGTTTAAGAATATTTAAATAGTTATAATTCTTTCATTATTAATTATTATAAATAATTATAACTATTTCATTGTTAGCTATTATAAACAAATGTTTTTGTTTAAAATATAATTATTCAAAATGTGAATAATTAATAGACCTTTTTGGTGCAAAGAAGAGTGCCAAAATATCAAAATTCACACTTTTGCCTTATAAAAAGATAGCGTAAAAAACACAGATGACAGTTCTTTCCCTTCACTGTGTTCAAAATTATCAAAATCTTCAAAAATCCCCTTGGCCCTGTTTCTTTAACTTGTTATCCTCAACAATTCAAAGCAAATGAAAAACAGATAAAGAAAATCAAAAGCCCAAAAAGTAAAACCAACCTTTCACTTCTTCAATATTTTCATTATTATCTCACATTCACACTTCCATTCCCAAGTCCCCACCATATTTTCTTTTTCTATACAAAACTACGTAGAATTTACACGTCACGTAAAACGACAACAAACAAAGGCCCCGACCTCCCTCCCCCGTACATATCCCCAGCTATCTAACTATCTGTGCCACGTGTACCATCATCTCCATCCACCATTGAATTCCGCTACGTGTCCAAGCCGACAAGCCTCTTGCGCGTTGGTGTCTGTAGATCTCACATAGCTGGCAACTTTGATTAATTTCTATATTTGATTTTTTAATTATATTAAATTATTAACGATTATTTCATAGATTAATTGACGTATTATTAAAATTAGTATTTAAAAATTATGAGTTTGAGAAAATTTAAGTGTATAATTTTTTTTCAATTAAGTATGTAATTAGGTAAAGATAACTAAGAGTAGATTAAAAATTTTTTTTAAAAAATTAGATTAAATTATTTATTTTTTTAGGTCATCTAAGTAGTTGGAAGATTTATCTTCACTAAATTACAAATAATATTAGTATTAAATAATATTTCATTGAAAAGAATGCAAAACTATTCATTTTTAAGACTGTATACTTCATTTTCTCCATTACATCAGTTGAAGATTATTCATTAAAATTTTAAAATTATCATATTAGGTAATATTTATTCAAAAGTATTGAAATTCATTAAATTAATTATCACTATTATATTTAATATACAAATATTATTATAAACTATAATTTAACTAAATTTAAAAGTGACTTAAGGGAATTCATTAACTAAATTCATTTGATAAATTTTTATTTAGTTATGTATTTAACATTTTAATCATTTTAAATTTTGACTTTGCATAATTTTAGAGTAGAGTTTTAAATTTAGAGTCAATGGTCAATTAGGTTGAGAAATGATTTATTATCTACTTCTATTCATAGTATATTCAATTATTCACTATGTATCTAGGCAACTTTGACTCAATAATTAGTGCATACTTATCTTTATTTAAAAAATTAAATTCAAATCATCTTAAATTCAAATAAAAAATATTAATATATTAATAATATACTCAATCACTTATAATTGTAACTTTACTTTAGAAATATTCTTAAAAATTAATTAACTAATTAAATCACAAAGGCAATAGAAGTGAGACATTTAAGATGAAGGAAAAAAGTTTAAATAAAAAATTCTTAAATTGTTACAAAAGGTGAAAAAAAATTTGGATTTTTAATTCAGTTATTATTTCAGTTCAAATTTTGATTATATTCAATAACTATTAAGTTATTGACTTTTTTAAAATAAATTCAAAATTGAGTTAAATTAGTTCATTTTTATAATTAAGTGATTATATTAATTTTTAATTAAATAAAAATTTAAAATGAGTTAAAATTTTATGTAAACTTAATATGAGTTTTGAATTATTTTAAATTTAAGTTGATTAATCTATATTATTTTTAGTTATGCTTTTTATGACACAATAATAAACTTTAAAATAAAATGAGAACAAAACACAATAAAAATTTAAATGCAAAAGTTATAATAATAATCTTGATTCCCGACCTATTCAATTCCTTAAAAATCATATCCAATCAAACCAAGGTTTGAAAACAAAGCTATATGTTGTCTGTTAAAATGTCAAAAAAGAACTAAGGTGTTGATATTGCCAAGCTACGTGGCCGGTGTATGCCTATTTTATTGGTGCTGGCCAGCATGGTGACTTTTTGAGTTTGGATTTACTGCCTGACTTTTTGGTTGCAACTAGAATCATTGCCAACCAGCCAATAAACACTTCTACCTTTGTTATTTGCTCCCTCGCCGGATATATAAATGCATGACAATGCCTTGTTTTTTCTTAACTCTATAGAATTAACTAATATATAATAAGGGAGATCCGATTATATTTATGTAAAACTATATTTTTTATAATTTATTGTGCAAAACTAATAATTTGCTTGAACTTATCGTAGTGGTAAAGTTTTAAGTCAATTTATACCTCTGTTACATTAATTAAGAATACTTAAGTGGTAGCTTTTCCTCCGTTTGGGTCATATTAATGCATATGTGATAGGCTTACTTTTGAAAGTTTGGCATTTCTATTTGTACTAATAATTAACCTGGTTTGGTGCACTTCGCAGGAGAACGTGATGGCAGACGACCCTGTTTTGATTAACATAACGGAAATGATTGCAAAATTATCGCCAATACAACCTGAAAGTTGCATTTGCAAAGTGCCTAATCATCTTCGCAAGGTAGATGAGGAGGCCTATGAACCACAGCAACTTGCAATCGGTCCTTACCACCGCGATAAGGTTCACTTGAAAGCAATGGAAGAGAATAAGCTTCGGTATCTTCAAAAGCTACTTGAAGAAAGAGGGGAGATCAATGATGGCCCGAAATATGTTAAGGCAATGAGAAAATTAGAGACAAGAGCTCGCAATTGGTATACAGACCCCATAAATCTTGAATCAGATGATTTCATCAAAATGATGCTCCTTGATGGTTGCTTTATTATTCAGCTAATTCGGATGCATTTTGGCATGTCATCGAGGGTGGACAATGACCCCATTTTTAAGGTGATTGGTTTGCGTTCCTCCTTACGCTGTGATTTGTTATTACTTGAAAATCAAATTCCCTTCTTTGTTGTATTGAAGTTACTTGGTATGATTGGGATTTCCGATGAGGAAGATTTCGCTAGAACGATTTTGAAATTCTTGAAGTACACATTACCAGATTCAAGGTTTTCTGAAGATGGTGTAAAATCGATCAATGAAATCGGACACCTACTGGACTTGATACATGAATACTGGCGTCCATCACCTATAGAAATTACGGCCTATCGAAATACGAAAGCAACGGATACCAGCCTCACACGTTGTGCCACGGAACTCAAGGAGGCTGGAATCAAGTTCAAAAATGTGAAGGGGAGAGAGTTTGTTTGATATTAAGTTTGAAAAAGGGACTCTGAAAATCCCAACCTTGGAAATCAATCATTGGACAAACTGTTTGCTTCGAAATCTCATTGCCTTGGAGCAGTTTTCCTCGTGCGGAGATATAACTCATATCACGGATTATGCCGTATTCATGGACTGTCTTATTAACTCTGCAAAAGATGTGGAAATACTCACACACCGTGGAATTGTTAACAACAATTTAGGTAATGACGAAGCAGTTGCCACCATGTTTAATAGACTTACTGACTCAGTAACCTACTCCTCCGAAAAATACTATTACCGTGAAGTATCAGACAAAGTGAACGCATATAGCGGAGGACGCTGGAACAAACGGCTTGCCAACTTGAATCACTACTATTTCAATAGTCCTTGGGCACTTATTTCCGTTCTTGCGGCTGCAGTCATCCTTCTACTTACCCTCATGCAAACCATATTTTCTGGAATTGCTCTTTAAAAGTAAGAAAACATACTCTCTTTTATTATGTATTATATATATTTTATGTAAATTATGGAAAATACCTTTTAAAATACAATTATTTGCTGTGAGTGATGTGAACTTATTATTATAAGTTAGAACCGCTTATCGTTTCTGTAATATTAGTCTAAGAGTGATTCGAAAGTAATTGATTATTGCTTGCTGCTTTTTCCTAGGACTTGATCTTGCTATTTTGTTTTACTTTATTTTTTATTTTTTTCTTTGAAAAGTAATAAAGGAATTCAGGGTACCTTATAACCGTTCTTTTATCTAAATATTCTATTAGTTGCTCTTTAAAAGTAATAAAGGAAAGTTTTCTGGTGGAAAAGAGAATGTGATAGGAAACAGGCGATGAATCTGCCGAAGATAACTAGTAGATAGAAGGAAGAAGAAATAATGGTAGTTGATTTTGTTGACGGTTTTGTACATTGTGATTCGTCAAAGCTGGCTAGTTGGCCGCGGTTTTTTTTTTTTTTTTCTCTAGAAAGTTTTCAATGCTTTCTGCTCTTTCCATGATCTTTTCTGTAAATATCGATTCGAAATGTTAAATGTGAAAATATTCTTCTTAGTCTGTCGTTCAAAAAAAAAAAAAAAACTTTGAAAAGATTTTTTTTCCTGCAAAAATCATTAGGTTGTGTTTAAGCTATCCCAAAAAATATTGACATTCTGAGCTGCTTAATGCTTGACCTTGTAGCTATTAACCTTGGCTTAGCCTATTTCCATTTGAGTTGAATAAAAAGAATGTTTAGCAACAGGATCAGTAATCTTAAAACACATTGAAAAGAGAATGAGTGGCAGGGTATGAACTATGTGACAGAAGCTAGGCAGAGAAACATCAATTGAGCCACCATAATTCAGACCAACGCAGATATTATAAAATAAATAAATTTGAGTTCCCAACATGGTATTCCAAACCATATGCATTCACAATCCACGGTCAATCACAAACCAGTTCCAAATTCATTTTATCTCCCACTTTTTCATAAGGGTCCCATACACATGGAAGTTCCAATGTTTGAAGCACAAAAACACAGAAACCAAAGAGACATCAAGTACACAAATTGATTACAGAAAATGGAGCATAACCTTGCTCTAAAAGAACGCTATGCCAATGACATATGCTAATGAAGCAATAGGTATTCTGCATCTACCTATATGAATCTGGTCGCTTCGGCTTGCTTTGAACAACAGCCTCAATCTTCTCCATAATTGCAGGAGTCAGTAATGGGATTACATCGAGTGCCTTCATGTTCTCTTGAATCTGAATAGGGAGAAGAAAAGTTTACTGTTTAGTTGCATGTAAATGTATTAAAAGTAGCAGCGGTACCCATTAAAAGCCAAGTAAAAGTTAAGAACCAAATGCACTTGAATCTCAATGATAATTAAAAAATAAAATAATGGTTTAGTTTGATTATAATTACTAACAGTAAATAAACACTGACAATATCCAGTCAAACACCAAGAACATGAAATTAGAATCCCACATAAATTAGGAGACGAAAGTGTGCTGATCTGCATTATTCGAGTGTGTTGTAGAACCAGCAAAAATACTTCCAAAGTTTCTGCAAAATGATATTCTGGAAGCTCATTACAGTTGCATACAAATGATAGACCTCTAAATATATTAGATGTTCCTTTAGAATTAAAAATGATAATTATCCACTATTTAGCTAATTGATAATTTTATAGATTAGCAGATATTAATCAGCTCTACATGCTTGCAAATTCTATTAGTTGATATGTATCTTTAAATCACAGAAACAACGCCATGCAGAAATCATTAGGTTGTGTTTTTATTTTCTCGAGTTAAATTAACCTCTTAGTTTTCAATGTCTTCCATACTAACAACAGTCAACTATATAGACTTCTGGAAGAATTAACAATGTCTTAATTGATTTCTGTGTTGCACTCTTTGCCTTTCCAAGGACATTAGACTCCGACCTTAACCTTTAACTTCACCTTACATACTCCATAAGATTTCTCTCTGCATCTCTCCTTTTCCAAATACAAAAAACAAAAATTGGCATGTATCGTAACCTTTAACATGTGTCCCAACATTGCCACTAGAATGATGCATAGTTAGTGATGCTCACCTCATTCTACAGGAATTTAGGGGAAAAACCAATGATTTCTTTAATATTGGAACTTCTAACAAATAGCTTAGCTAACTGTAACTAGTTTGCTACAGATGAGCAATCCATGAATTAGATGAAGCAAGAATTCAATAGAGTCGAGAAAAACAGAACTACCATTATTACTTACTCAAACTTGTAGACAGGTGAACAACGAAAACACAAAAACATATTTGTTCAGAAATTTGGTATAAGTTTTTAACTTTAAAGAAGGCACTTGGTTGTAATAAAAGCATGTTTAGTTAGTTTTATTATCTAAACAAGATAACTTTTCTTTTTTTTTTGAGAAAAACTAAACAAGAAACTCAAATTCAATGAAATGAACCAGAGCTTAGCTCAGTTAATTAATGCAATCACCCTTAAGAGGTGGCATCTAGCAGGTTTGGGGGTCGAATCCCAACACGCAATCCCTTCCCTTATCCAGACTGCGGCCTTCTATGTACCAAAACCAATGAAATAAGGATAAATCCATAAATGTATTTTGGTAGCAAACTGACACAATACCTGCTAGTACACAGCCTAATGATAAAAGGAAAAACAAGAAAGAAAAAGTTGAAACATTAGATTGAAACTTCTAGTAACCATAATTTCCATCAATTTTACAAGTTTAGGCCTGGCCCACAATGTCTTAGCCTGCTGGCAAAAGAAGGCACCTAGGTGAGGCTGCTATCCGTGTATTCTGAAAAGATGGGCCATAATGCAGATATCTCTATAAACCTTAAAGAATATATCACTCCATAGGATGTAAGTTGCAATCATATCACCTGCTGTCATATATGCAAACGGTCATCCCTGATTAATCTATTAGCCACTCATTAAATTAGCCTCTCTATGGGACAAATTATTCATCATCGTACAGTGTGTTTTCCTTATATCAAACATAAATATAAGCATATTCAAGTGAATGAATGTATACCAAACAGCCAAATTTTATATTGCGGTACAAAAAAAATGAGTTTACCATTGCTTTCATGAAGCTTCTCACAGCAAAGCAAATGCATTGATAGATATGGTGATCCACAAAAATAAGAAATGAAATAATGAGATACATAAAATACTAACCTGAGATTCCTTTGTAGCACCAGTAATAACTGATGATACATTTGGATTTGCAGCACACCATCCAATTGCAAGCTGAGCTAAAGGTACACCAAGTTCATCCGCAATTGGCTTCAGTCCATTAACTTTCTTCAGCACATCATCAACCAGTGATCGGTTAGCAAGATTCTACACAAGAAAACAACATAATTTAGTGGCTTACTCATGACAGAAGTGGAAGGTTGTTAAAATTAGCCGCACAAAGCAGGTTAAAAAATCCATAAGAAAAGAAGCTATATTATCAAATGTAGAGCCTGTTTAGCCTGGTTGGAGCTTCTATAAGAAGTGCTATGTAGAGCTGCTCTAAAAGTGCTCTAAAGATAAGTTAAAATAGCAAACTTAAGACATAAGTGCCGTAGAATGTTGAAAAAACTATTTGACAGTATTTTATATATTTTTAATAAATAAAAAAATCAACTTTCTTAAATTATATTACATGGTTTTAGGTGAAAAAAGAAAAAGTTATTTTTGTTAATTATAATAATAAAATGAATTCAATAAAAAATAGATAAAATAAAAAAATAACATGCAATAATAAACAATTGAAAAATAAAGTGAATGTAAACACTGTTCATCAAATATTTGTTATTAAAATTAGTATTTCTTGCTGAAGCTCTAATTGATAGCTTCATCTAAAAGCTTAAATTTGCTTCCCCATGAGCTAAAAATTCTTAAATTTTTAGAGTCAAACACTTAGCTTCGTCTTTTGCAATAGATAAGCTCCTTCATAAACTGGGCCAAACACATGTAACCCAATAATACTTACCCAAGTTAAGTTGTTGGAGTTTCACAATCATCTCTAAAGATGCTAACTGAAAAGTTAAACAGTGCAAAATATGGAAAGCTAAGTTTGCTTGGATTTTATGTCCATGGCACATGCTCCTATCACTATACACCAGAGTTTTGATCTTTATGTCCTTTTGTGGATAAGCAACCTAGAGTTTTGCTTACATGTATATATGTAAGAGATGATATTTATTACAAGCTTGGATCCATAAACAAGATGTAAGATTCATGAGAAGCACAAAAAAAATGAAATTAAGGATAAATCCATAACTTGCATTTTAGGTAGCAAACCGACCATTACCTGCTAGTCCACAGCCTAATGAAAAAATGAAAACAAGAAAGAAAAAGTTGAAACATTAGATGAAACTTCCAGTAAACATATTTTCATCAATTTTACAAGTTTAGTTCTGGCCCACAATGTCTTAGCCTGCAGGCAAAAGATGGCACCTAGGTGAGGCTGCTATCCATGTATTCTGAAAAGATGGCCATAAATTCAGATACGTGACTAAACCTTAACGAAAACTTTAGATTAATATTTTAGGTGAATTTGTGAAGTTCTAAACTAAATGATTAAATAAAATTAAAATTGAAAGATTGAAGATCTCGTTTCATAAGATTATGTGTGTAAATTTTGAAAATATATTATTATATATATATTTAGATAGACATTTTTAATAAAAATATTAACAAAATTTTTACCATTAAATAAGTATCGATAAAATTTAAATTATAAATAATATTTTTAATATTTTTTTGTATATTATTGATTTTCATATTAAACTCCATCAATCTATGAGTTTGGATTTTTTATTAAAATTTTTATTAAATCATTTGAAAAAAAAAAAAAAAAAAAAAAAAAAAAAAAACTTAACAAACTTCACATAAAGAATTTCATCTAAAGAACTTTATCTAAGTTTTTTTCTAAACCTTAAAGAATATATCACTCCATAGGATGTAAGTTGCAATCCTATCATCTGCTGTCATACACGCAAACAACTATCATCCTTGATTAATCTATGACCTCCTCATTAAATTACCCCCTGCTTGGAGCAAATTATTCAATGTCATCTAGTGTGTTCTTCGAATATCAAACATAAATATAGACATATCCAAGTGCATGAATGCTACCGAACAGCAAAATTTTATTTGTACTAGGAAAAATATGAGTTTACCATTGCTTTCATGAAGCTTCTAACAGCAAAGCAAATGCATTGGATCGATATAGTGATCCACAAAAATAAGAAATGAATAAATTTATCTTTTTAAAATATCCTAAGCTTTACTAAGAATCTTTAAAAAAAATAAGTTCTTGTCTACTTATCAAAATTGGGTTTGAAATTTCG